ATGGTGCTTCCAAATTTCGAAAAGTTAACGTGTCATAGTAAAGTGACCAAACGATCTAGACAGCCGTTCTCGGCACCAAAACATACTCCATCATGTTGTTTAAGCATGTTCTGAATCCTAAATTGATATCTCAAAAATTGAGTGTTCTATGATTTTTTAAACAAATGTCCGCTGGAGCAAATTTTTCTAGAAAAATTCGAATAACTCGAGAATTGCTGGTTCAAATTGCAAAAAGTAAAGTTATTTATAAACCTTCAAAACAGACAAATCCAAATATGTAAAAATATACAGGGTGTTCCATTTAAAAAAATAGAGTAGGTGGCGACTTCCGGTATAACCGGAAGTGCTAGAAAACTGAAAATATTTTAGACGAAGAGAACGTAATTGATAATACTTAAGGTTGAATTCTCAATTTTTTATTTTGGCCAGAACCACAGAAACGTCTAATGACCGGTCTCGCTGAGACACCCTGTATATAATCAAAGATTTTAATTTAACTAAACTACTATTAAATAAGTTACTATACTTATTTATCATTTATATTTACAACATAAAGATATTTCAGCTTTCAGTCGTTTGACATATCAATTGATACACAATCTATTAACATAAAGTCTATTAACACACATTTGGTAGAAACAATTCTATCTAACGACAGGTAATTGTCGTTATGCATTGATAGCCTAAGAAATAAGGTTTTCATCCGTAAATATGTTGTAATCTCAACAAGTTTAGTGAAAATAACTTTTTATTTAGTGCGTGGGTATAAATTAAACAATTTCAGGTTAGGATTTAATACGAAAATGCAATTTTAACATTGCTTTGAACTTCCAAAAAGAAACGTCAAATCGCAACTTTAAAGTGATTTTTCGGTAAGTACTACACTTTTCCGCACTTTTTTTTTATCATTAACACATCTTTTGAGTCATTTCCTACCGATTAAAAAAAAAATCATCGATTTTTAAGAGGGACAGCTAATCTTAATATATATGTCAAGATTAATTTCAGCGAATTGATAAAATGTAAATTCTCGAGACTTATTAATAGATTAGTGGAAATAATCTTATTTCCGTCGGTGTGGATAAATGAGTCCGGTCGCTTTAATAACAAAAAGAGCAAGTTTACAAATCGACATGGACAGAGAGAGAGCAATTAACTTTTTAGCCATCATCAAAGGAGTGCAATTTGCACGGAGCATTGGCTAAAAACAGTGACGCCGTTTTGTTGGATGCCCGTGCCTCGACGGACCGACTATCTTCGAAGACGACTCGGTGTCCGAGATTTACGCAGGACGTGCACCGCATCCAGCAGGAATAGATGATGACAAATTATCATCGCGTCCGGGCTGGAATTTTTAAAATAAATTCAATTATAAACACAACCCTAAACTTTTTTTTTTTAGGGGTAAAATCGGTATAAAAAGTATAAGATATTCGACGTAAACGTCGTTCGTTTATAATTTATGCAAATAACAATAAAAGTAACAGGACGTTTGGAAAATATTTACGTGAACCCTCGTGACATTTCCAAAACAGCTCTTAAATTACAACCGAGCTATAAAACTCACCTCTTAAAAACCAGCCGCCGTCAAAATCGCCTTCCAAACCATCGTTGTTAGAGTTGGTTAGAGTCGCAGTCGGTGGTGGTGGTGGTGGGTGTTTAGTTTCCACGTCCTAATTGAACTACTTGACTTATACAAAAAATACGTCTTTTTCCCTATCGTTATTTTAAATTTTTTTTCTTTTATAGTGGCGGTTGTTACCAGATTTATTAATCGTTCGTTTTTTATAACGAAATTCCACTACGATGTTTACAACAGCAACGAGACGGTCAATAAGCTCGATTAGATTATAAAAGATTTACGTTTACATAGTAGCCTCACTATTTAATGATACACTTACGTTCAAGTGGATTTTTAAATTTATTATTTTTTTAAATACCTCCAATTTAATTCTAATTCAAACAAAAATTCCTTTCTCCAGTAACTATTGTTAATATGTAGTATGTATAGTAAGCATAATTACTCTCATTGAAAACCTACCTTTAAAACCTACCCATGCGACGATAGCAACAAACTTTTACCCGTAATTTCCTATCTACTTTCTTAGCTAATATCTTCCTTATAATTAAGGATAGCGAAAAACTAAATGCACCACTTGAAAGCTTGAATCTTTCTCTATCTAAAACCCGGTTGTGGTCTGCCGATAAGTTGATATTAAGATCAATAAAAAATGAAGAACACCGCGCTGTACTTAAAAT